GCCCTATAAAGATATTAACTGGACATATTTCAAAGAATGCAGTTTCTTAACTTTTAAGATATGACCTTCTTTTTTTCCATAAAACCTAGCTAGGCTGTCAGATCCTTTTTAAACTACACAGTGTACTTAATATACACTATAAAAATAAATTCACAGCCTCAGGTCCTATTTTTGAAAAAAAACTGATGTTCTATATATATATACAAGTCTAAATTGAAAACAACGTTCAAACCTATGATTGCGTTGGATAAAAACCGCAATTTTTATACGTGTGCATGCAAAACAAATTTCTTGTTAGAGGGGTCTAAATACAGCACAAACAACATTTTCCAAAAGATCAAAAAAGTGAAAAAGTATATTTTAACAAAACGCATTTGACTAACAGGTCGAACAACAAATGTTCTTAAACCCTGCTGACTGCCATTGGCGATTGCCAAATAAACGGATCACCGATGTAATAAATGGATCTTAATTATAAATTTAATACTAAACAGAAAACAATAAACTTGCGGAAAAGATGGTATACCGCAAACAAAAGGTGCAAAGGTTTTTGTACACCATATCCGGATTTCGACAATTAATGTCTTTTCAGTGATGTTAGGAATCGAAACGGTATTTGGAAAGCCATACAATTTACCTCAATTTAGGATAGACTCTTGAATTTTGAGGAGTCAAAATAGGATGAACGGATCATATAAACCCAAAGGCAAATATAATACAAGCCCAAACGAAAAAATTTAAACAAGTCCAAATTGAAAACAACGTTCAAACCTATGATTGCGTTGGATAAAAACCGCAAATTTTATACGTGTGCATGCAAAAAAAATTTCTTGTTAAAGGGGTCTAATTATATATATATATAATTATCTTCAAGGCGTTTGATCAAAAATAAATGACTAAACTCACCAAAAGGTAAAATACTATTGAAATTAACATATACTATCTGTTAGAAATTTAATTGCTAACTTCTAATCTCCTGGCACCTCATCATGTGGTGACAGTGTCATGATAATCAGTAACACGAAACCTAAAAAAATAATTATCTATCATCAGAATCAGCTCTATATAGAGCTAGCCAACAAAAGAGGGGTGCAGTTCCCCTCTGCAATTTTCTGTGTCTAACCTCAGCCTACATGTATACTGCATGTATCAAAGGGAAAAAAATTATTTTAACAACTGGAAAAAGTTTTTTACAGACGGTGAGACTAAAATAGCATAAATTCAGCAAAAACACAATAATTTATTCATTTGTTACAATATTAATTTTTAATATATAAACATGTTCCCTTTCAGACAAAATACCAATCTTAGGTGTCCTTCATCCTAAAACTGTGCCTCTCTTAAGTTCTACGCTCAAATTACCTACATGTAGAACACTGTGCATGATTGGTATTTAATATTTAAAAAATATCCATTAGATTAGTACATTCATTTGCTAAATAACTAATTTGGAGTTCAAACTAGGCTCAATTTTAAATTGAATTATATATATATGCAAATATGAAAATTACAAATAAATTCATTCGTTATGATATCTGTGCTTTTTCTTACGAACTTCCTACATATACATGTACATTGTAAGAAAATGGGTGATTATACATTTTTGTAAATATATATAAACTTATGATTCTGGCATTTGAACATTACTATCAATGGTTTTGACGGACAAAAATATATTAGGTTTCAAAACCTGTGAAGTAGGAATTTTTTTACTGTGACACACATGTACAAATGAATATTGACACCATAATTTCATAGGCAACCTTTGATTGCTTTCTCAATTGTTAAACAGTTTCCTAATGCAGGTTTTTTTTTTGGGAGGGGGGGGGGGGTGTTGAGGGGGTACAATTTTTAATATCCATCAAACTCTATTGTCTGTCCATGAATAAAGTTATTTATGGTACCGCAGCTAGAATAAAGTATGATACTTGGTAGTTTTGAATGCATGTGAATCTTTTTTGTGCATAAGTATAAACTCCACCGAAAAGAAATCCACAGAAAGATAAAAGATTGGTTTAAAAAGTACTAATTTGCATCTCTTCCCCCGGAGACAAGTTTTGGGAGAAAATCCTAAAAAAAATTAAATGGGCAATAATTTCATCGAAAAGAGAAAGTCGAGTCACCTCTTTATGTTCAGGCGTGTTTGAGTTGACTATTTTGTCTTGAAAATGTAATGCAAAAATATTTGATACATCATCTCGCTTTAGATTCTATTACTTTTTTTATATATATATATTTAGGCTACAGGTTGATATAATAACATTCTGTAGCCTAAATATATATATATAACATTAAAAAATATTCTCTAATCGGTTGTCAGGGGTTGGGGGTTTTAATGTTATATATATATATTTAGGCTACAGGTTGATATAATAACATTAAAACCCCCAACCCCTGACAACCGATTAGAGAATAGTTTTTAGCTGACTGAAGACCTAAAAGTACATTAAATGATGCTTAAAATACCTAGTATATACAATTGTCTTTTAAATTTCAACTGTCATATAAGGATCGTAATGATGCTATGTGGTTAAATTTATCTGTTTTCAAGAGCTAAATTGACAGCGCGTCTTCCCTTCAATGACTTTCATTTTTACGATTGAAAAAAAAAACAGGTGGCGTAATAAGAAATTAATTTTGACGAAGTAGAACCCTGACTGTAGGTACTTTTATATTTCAACTAAAAGGATATTACTTCCTCACCAGGATAGAATAAATCCAACCAAATTCTCAACAGCGACATTACAAAATGTACGTTTCATGTTAGTGTAATGTGGGATGCCACATGAGAACAAGTACAGATTCTACAACATTTTAGGTTGACAGATTTCTACTCTAAGCAAATACAAACTTTAGATACAAGAATTTATAGAAAATCAATGGTTATTTTGTTTTACTAATTTGCAATAGAAGAAAAGTAGTTTTTTCACTACCCTTATGGTACCAACTATTTTTGTTTCATTTTATTTTACAGAAAACCCCCCCCCCCCCCTCCCAAAAAAAAAAAAAAAGAAGCTCGGTGCCTATAATAATATATGGTTTCTACATTCTTTTAGATGTTCATCAGCAGGCTAGACTAAAGTATTTCATGATTTGATCGTGTTTACACTTGAAGCAGTTTTAATTTTCAATTGATTAATTTTTTCCTACCATTTGATTACATGTTGCATATGACGACGGTAAACATAAAATCATTTGGGAAGAAAAAGTTTTCCCTCAATCTTTGCTTTGTTAATTTGGAAATAGCTAGAAACTCCCATTTATGAAAATAATAACAGAAATAAGCTATCAAAGTGACAGCAAACCCGCTTTTCCTTAGGTAGGTAACCATTGTTGAATAAAATGCCTTTTTTCAACGTTTGGATTATTGAAACAAGCTTGGGAATTATCCCGGCGAATAATCTTCAATAATTGAAGGATCGCTAGAAACTTAAAGAAGAAGATATCCTACAATGTGCAAAACGTGTATTCTGCCTGCATCGAATTATTAGAGAAAAGGAAGAAATTGAATTTTCAATCCTCTAGAAATGACTCTCAATGGTTATCTGTATATAATGTATATATTTAGCTTTAATACTATGAAACACAATACGTCTTTACTATTCCGAGTAAAAAAAGCTTAAAAAATCATATTGCCCAGTATTACCCGTTTATGGGAGTATTGCCCAGGACCCGGGTTTTCCCGCCCGGGTAATACTTTGCCAACCCTGGTAACAAACGATCAAAATTTGAGAAGCATTGATTGAACAGTTCATAAGTTATTACACGGAACCTGTTGGCATTGGCAGCCGTCCACAGTCCAGTGTCGGCCTGTTTTAATTTTTTTACAATTGTTGTGTTTTATAGCTTACTAAATGCCGTACAAGTTTTGATGAAGGCCGCGTGTTGGCCAGTAGTTGGTAACATCTGTGTTATTTCAATCGAATTAAAATATAGACCTCTGATTTCATCGTATGAGGATAACGAAATCAGATGTCTATATTTTAATAATATTTGAGTTATTTGGTCTCATTGGTAATCATACTACATAGATATAAGAAGATGTGGTATGAGTGCCAATGAGATAACTCTCATTCCAAGTCACAATTTGTAAAAGTAAACCATTAACGGTCAAAGTACGGCCTTTAACACGGAGCCTTGGCTCACACCGAACAGCATGCTATAAAGTGCCCCAAAAATGACTAGTCTAAAACCATTCAAACAGGAAAACCAATGGTCTAATCTATATGAAAAACGAGAAACGAGAAACATTTATGAACCCCATCAACAAACGACAACCACTGAACATTACATGTACATCTTCTAAAATGAATGTCATTTGAAGTTCGAACAACATCATAGCAGATTATTTTAAAACATACATATAACAATATTATTAACACGTAAAGAAGCCACAATCACACTTGGACATATTTTTGGAATTTTGAGTTTTCACTCAAGAATGTTTGAGAAGGGCATTATGGAAATTAAGCTTTTTATTGTCTCACAAATACAAATCAATTCATATTGGTAAGAGACGTCCTTTGATACAAAATTTTACAAACACATGTAACATTTGTAATTTTGTATCAACAATGCCTTCGACAGCAACATGAAGCCCTAGATCACATTTTGATTCTATGCAAATATGTAAACTGATGGATTTCATTTTGAAAATCAACAAAGATTAGACTACTTCAAGATTTTCACACCGTGATTAAAACAAATACGGGGGAAATTGGTCCTATCTCTTTTTTCGTGTAGTAGACGGATTCATTTTTCAATACCCCAGTAGTAACCATTTATGTAACAGAGCCGAAGTCTATAAAACAGTAAATTAAGAGAACACAAGAAATACAGAGGAATAATAACATTGTATGTCTAATATTTATTATATTAAGGAATACATCTTCAAACTCACTTTCATATCTAAGATATATGTAAAGTATTCGTTTGAAAAGACAAAGCAATGATTATTACTTAATTTTTCTTGAAATATCATTTTATTTCTGATTTTAAAGGATAAACATCAGAATGAGTGTGTCAGGACCTGACATTGGTTTCACAGACCTTACAGATCTCGGTAAGGGTCACAGAGGATATGCCCATCAACTAACGTCATTATTTAACCAATGTGATTTTGGCACAGTGGAAACCCATCGTCATACCATTAGCTTCAAAGAAGCATCGAAAAGACTAAGGAAGCAAATGATGGAGTCTTTTGAATATATAGAAATTCAAACAGGTAGATTGGTAAAAGAATTTAATATTGGTAAAACACATGTTTACTCGCAGTATTCTATTGATTTCAATCCAACACAGCCGTCCACTTGGGCTCCCTATGGAGGTTTATCTGTTAGTTGGGAAAATTATAAAAAGAAAGGATTTGACGGAATGATAGCATTGGGTTGTGTAATAAAGGATATTATTCCCCAAGTTATTCGCGACACCAACAAAGCCTTAGAAATAAATCATCATAGCTATGCAGCTGGATTAGCACAGTCCTTGGTACAGTATTACCTTCTACAAAATCCTGATGATAGGTTACGCAGTGTAACTGTTGAGGATCTGGGAAACAATACTGGGAAAGATGAACTTGGTTCCCCAGCTAGTGTAATATATGCAGCGTATAAACTAGAACCTAAGACGACCAATTCGGTAAGTCAGAATTTGACGTTTTAGCTTTATAATAGAAAAACAAAGGATATGAGGATATACATCCAGGACACACAATCAGTACATGCAAAAAAACCAAACAAACAAAAAGCAAAGGAACAGCGCTTTTATTGTTGTTCTTCATCTCAAAGTCACAGTGAGACCTTCAACACGGAGCAAACAATCCTCACCTTATGCTTTTTTTTATAGCTGTCATTCATTCATCAAATTTATCTATGATGAGTTTATTATGCAGTAATAATTTTGATAAAGTTGGAATTTATTGTCAATAGTAGTAGCCTTTCGACCTAAGCAGAAGCGATTATATTTTCTTTGAACTGAAGTGTCAGTTAAATAGTATTACACAATGCATTATTTCATAAATGTTACGATAATTAATGTATGCATTCATGTCATATTTGAAATAATATCAGAGAACATTATTTTTACAAATTTAAAATTTAAATTTATTACTGTATATATTCACTAGCAACTTTTAGTAGATACTCTTTGACACATTCCCCGTTTCCATTCTCTTTACTGTCACAATAAATAAAGGTTAGCATTGGCTAAAGACATCCTTAGTCATATAGTCCTGACTGGGACAGTATTTGAGTATGATTTTAATCTTCCACAGAAGACGAAGGAAATCAGTATGGTTCCATATGCTCAAAACTCTTTGAAAAAAATGGAGCTCTACTCGTGCACAAAAGTAAACTTACAGGGCGACAACATAAAACACCACTGTCATGTGAAAAATATCTTATAGAATTTTGAAAACATTGGATGACTTGTTTATTCATGATAATCAGATGTTCAGGATCTATTATTACAAACTAAAACACACTGGGACACCAAATGAACACAAACTGAATAGGGACTCGACAAGAACAACAACAATACTTTATTCTCTAATAAACTGTTGACACAGAGATATGTCTCGCCTGTCCGCATAAAATTCAGAAAAAGACAATCTGATGGACAGCAGCATTGCTTATTAATTCAAAGTCGCTGGACCATGATCTTGATGGCAGAACCTAGAAATAGTCGACAAATTGAGATGTACTGTAAGTAATGAAACTTCATACAAAATAACATCGATCTGTCACAAGCAGTTCTTATCAAACTGACTTAAGCAGAAAACTTATCATTGAAAATTGCTAATTAATTCAAAGTCACTGGACCATGACCTAGGGGGCAATGAATAGTCGTCAAACAGATATGTAATGACAGTAACGCAACTTTATATTAAATATCAATGATCTATCACAAGTTGTTCCTATCAAACTAACTTAACCAGAAATCAATTGTTGACACCACCGCCGCAGCCGTCGCCGTCGCCGGAAAATCAATCCGGACTTTCGTCGCGAGCGAGACAAAAACCAATACAATCAAAGGTCATAGAATGCCATGCAAATAATATATACAAATCATACATAGTATGGTTGAGGTGAGTTAACATTGGTGTAGTAAAAGATACAAAATAAAGAAAAACTAGACTAAGTGATGCCCCTGCACTCCACTCTGAAGTAACTGTATTATAATAAAGTCAATGTAGGACTTTCTTTGAGATATGATTGTGTCTGGGAGACACAAATGATGCCCCTGCAGATGTAAAGTGTTATTTCATAAAGATGAGCATAGGAGCACATAGGTCTATGTTTCACTGTAGGAGGAGTTATCCGGAAACGTTATGCACCTCTTATGCAAGTATATACCTGGTACTCCAAAAATGACAAAGTTCAATTATCTCCCAAAAGAGCAAATGTTAATAAAAATCAAAACCCTGACTACATGCACACCTTCAATATATGTACAAACAGCCAGCAAAGTGAAAACTTCATATCATTTAAACTGTAGGAGGAGTTATCTGGAATACCTATGCACCTCTTATGCAAGTATATACTCCAAAAATGACAAAGTTCAACTATCTCTCATAAGAGCATATATCAATAAAAATCAAGACCCTGACTGAGATAATAAACTCATGATCATGTACTTGCTCCACGTCAAGGATTTCAGAAATGGTTGTCTTTATCTTTTTTTAAATTGTTGGTATACTAGTATTGGAAATTCGGTGTTGATCCCAGAACTTTAATATACTCTGTTAAATTTAAGTCTGGAGCTAGGGAATTTGTATAGCTGGACATTCAAGACATTTGTATATTGTTCAATACGTATTATAATCGACCACATCCCCTCTTTTCAAACAAATAAACATCCGATAGGATGTAACAAGTGAAGAAAATATATCCATTCATTCTTGTATTTTACTATGATACTTTTTTGCGATTAGATTACATTAAATAGCAATTGTAATTATGAAAATAAACGATATATTTACGCATATATTGTATATTTAGTTTCAGGAGTTAAAAATTAAAGACGAACCTGATGGTAAGGATTTAAGTTGCAAATAGTCAATATATATACTTTAAAATTTCAATGTTACGCATATTTTGGCTCTTTTCAGTTTTCCCTCCACTGTACTTTAGAATCAATCAAGTTTGCGGTAAACACCTTGAGTATATAAATTCAAAATTTCCAAAAATGTAAATTAACAATGAAATTATTAGATTTATTCGGTGATATTGACTTTTGTACATTTTACATTTTGGTGTCCTTTTTCGCTGAATATTAATTCCCCTATATCTCTTGAAGTTAAAAACAAATAATAATTCATTTTTTCGATATACAGATGCAGTTCTTAGTACTATGCTACATATTTTATTGGAGCCAAACATATGAATTTCATAAAATTATCGCGATTGCCTCTTGCATTCCTCTGACTTTGAAGGATTTCAATAAAACCTGTCACCTTTTGTTTTATCATATTGGACGAAAAATATCTTGTAAAATCATTCAATTTGATTGGTTACCTTGATAGGGTATATGAGACTTTATTCCCTGTGAAAAAAATGAAAAAAAAATCATAGTGATTAACCATGTTAAAATCAAGGCACACTTGTATAATATTATTGTTTTTTTTAGGCTTCACATGGTATATGAGCTCACATTCCCTGACAATGCCCTATATCATATTCAGTTGACGACGCACGGGATATGAAAACTGACATGGAATATGAGCTCATATCCCCTGTGAAGATGCCATATAAAACACTGACCGACAGAGAACATGAACCAATATAATCTGTGAAGATCCCTTATGGTACAATGGATACAAAATACTGACTGATAGGAAATATGAGCCCATATCCCCTTTAGAATCCAGAAAAACATAAATAATGTTTTCGCACAAGAACCAAAATAATCAGCTGGAATTATGGAACTATTTAACAAGTAAACAAAATCGGCTTGTAAAGTCCTGTTGTGTTGCACTTCATTTTGGAAATGTTTTTGTAATATATAAGGACCTAAAGTTTACCTATATTTGGAAATAGTTTTGTTGTCTTTGATTTGCTATCGCATTGGCGTATAATCCTTCATCTCCTTTTTCGTATACCGTGATTAAAGCACTAGCAATACGTTAAACATATTTGTATTTGTTAAACTTTGTCATTCACCACCCAAATTACAAAAGAACATGCAAATAAAGTAATATTCGATTTTTTGTTGATTGTTGTATTCAAAGATTATACATAAAGATAATAATAATAATAATAATAATAATAATAATAATAATAATAAATTCTTTATTTAAAGAGCAGAGGCAGATTTAGGGGGGCAGGGTGCCCGGGTCCCCCCTTTTGTGGAAACAATTTGGTTGATTATTTAGGGACCACTGAAGCATGACTGGAGCGGGCCCCCTCTTATGGCAGTCAGTGCCCCCACCTCCTTATGAAAATTTCTGTATCCGCCACTGAAGAGGGTAACTCAATTAGAACTGGTATAATTTTCATTGAGGCCCTCAAACAAAATACATGTGTACAGTTAACATTCATACACTAATAATGGCTAATACGGTTTTTTTTGTATATACTTCCTTTTTTGTATGTAATCAAATAATTGCTAAGTGTTGGAAAATATCTTTGCAATAAATAAAAAAATAATGTCATGTCTCAATATCCCCATTAGTATCTCCTTATATTTGAATCATTTATTTCTTTATTTTTGATAGGTCAACTGTTTTAATGCACGGACATTGTGTAAACCTATGTTTTTGACCGAATTCTTCGTTCAAAGAAGTAGGGTGTGTAATAACATTAACGGTACCAATTTTATTGTACCAGATGCGCATTTCAACAATAAATGTCTCTTCAGAGGTGAAAGAGGCAAAACGCTTGAAAGTCGAAAACCTAATTCAAACAACAAAAAACTGATGAAACTAAAAAAGACAAAAAGTAAATCCAAACCCAGATAAGGAATTAGAGTTATATATGCATGAGGAAGACACATTCCATGATTTATAATAATTTCGAAATTTTAAAACTGCATAGTTCAGTAGAAAAATATCCGTATTTACGAGACAGTGCCGAATTACTGACTACTGGATCAATGGTACACTAACAGTACCAGTTTTTTGCACTATTCATGCACAAAACATGCACAATATTCACTATATTGGAAAGCCTTTGTGCAGCTATCATTTGTAACGCTTTTAGATAATACTGTATGTATTGACCAACTATTAAATCACTGCATAGATACACACTCGTGCAACTATTAACACGCTTAGCCACCTTTTCATATATTGATGAATGACTTACAATGATATTAAATCGTGGTATATAGTTACTTCATCCCAATATATTTACCATTTTAAAAATCAGCAGCTATTTACACAACAAATCGTTGAAGTAGAAATCATATCCTCTTAAGTCATGCACATTTAGGATAACTTCCAACTAAATCTTAATTTTAAAGTTCGTTGCTGCAATGTCATTGACCGACTTGTTACAAAATGTACTTCTGCTTTGATTTTGAAGATTTCATAGTTAATCAGTCAGCTATAGATCTATTAGAGACGAAACTGTCAGGTGAAGGATTATACTTCCGTGGTGAGATATCAAATGATGGAAACTCGTTTTTCCGATCATGCAGTGACCAACTTGAAAGATTAGAAATGCCGTCCATGGACCATGCTGAACTAAGACAGAAAATTGCTCAGCAAATGAGAGGGATGCCTACAGTAAGTATTTGTTAAATAATACTGATATGATCCCACAGGTTGTTGAATTAATTAGCTAGCTTTATTCCTGTAAAATGATTACGGACTTTATAGAGAAGCAAAATGCTATTTAAGAATTAAAAGCATTTGCAAACATGTTTAACCCCGCCACTTTCTAAATGTGCCTGCCCCAAGTCAGCAGCCTGTAGTTCAGTTGTTGTCGTTCGTTCGTTGCAAAATATGATATTTGTTTTTCGTTTATCGTTTCGTACATTAATCAGGCCCGTCAGTTTTCTCGTTTGGATTGGTTTACATTTGTCATTTCGGGGCTTTTTATCGCTTTCTCATTGTTAAAGGTCGTAATGTGACCATTAAATGCTTACCTCTACGTCATTTGGTCTCTTGTCTCATTTTCGACCATACCACATTTTTTAGCTCACCTGGCCCAAAGGGCCAAATGACCTTTTCTCATCACTTGGCGTCCGTCGTCCGTCGTTAACTTTTACAAAAATCTTCTCCTCTGAAACTACTGGGTCAAATTTAACAAAACTTAGCCACAATCATCATTGAGGTTTCTAGTTTAAAAAAATGTGTCCGATGACCCGGCCCGTCAAGCAAGATGGCCGCCATGGCTAAAAATAGAACATAGGGGTAAAATGTAGATTTTGGCTTATATCTCTGAAACCTTAGCATAAAGAGCAAATCTGACGAGATAAAATTGTTTATCAGGTCAAGATCTATCTACAATAAAATTTTCAGATAAATCAGACAACCCGTTGTTGAGTTGCTGCCCCTGAATTGGTAATTTTAAGAAAATTTTGCAGTTTTTGGTTATTAACTTCAATATTATCATAGATAGAGAAAACTTGTAAACAGCAATAATGTACAGCAAAGTAAGATCTACAAATAAGTCAAACATGACCAAAATGGTCAATTGACCCCTTAAGGAGTTATTGCCTTTTATAGTCAATTTTTAACAATTTTTTGTAAATTTTTGTAATCTTTTACAAAATTCTTTTCCTCTGAAACTACTGAGACAAATTTAATCAAACTTGGCCACAATCATCATTAGGGTATCTAGTTTTAAAAATGTGTCCGATGACTCCGCTTACTAACCAACATGGCCGACATGGCTAAAAATAGAAAATAGGGGTAAAATGCAGATTTTGGCTTATATCTCTAAAACTAAAGCATTTAAAGCAAATCTGATTGGGGTAAAAATGTTCATCAGATTAAGATCTATCTGCCCTGAAATTTTCAGACAAATCAGACAACCCGTAGTTGGGTTGCTGCCCCTGAATTGATAATTTTAAGGAAATTTTGCAGTTTTTGGTTATTATCTTGAATATTATTAAAGATAGAGATAAACTGTAAACAGCAATAATGTTCAGCAAAGTAAGATCTACAAATAAGTCACATGACCAAAATGGTCATTTGACACCTTTAGGAGTTGTTGCCCTTTATAGTCAATTTTTTAACAATTTTATGTTATTTTTGTAATCTTTTACAAAAATCATCTCCTCTGAAACTACTGAGACAAATTTAACAAAACTTGGCCACAATCATCATTAGGGTATCTAGTTTAAAAAATGTGTTTGATGACCCCACCTACCAACCAACATGGCCGACATGGCTAAAAATAGAACATAGTGGTAAAATGTAAGTTTTGTCTATTATTTTTTGAACCGTTATAAATAGAGAAAATCTGAAGAGGGCAAAAATGTTCAGAATAATGAGCTCTACCAATTGTACATATACGTCAAAACTGTTAGACAAATTCTTTTAGAAGTTATTGCCCATAAAAGACAAATTTTACCATTTTTTTTCATGTTTGCCTATTATCATAAAAACTATGATATTTAGATAGAAACATTTTTTTCCCCGTTATGCCTTATATGATTTAAATTATAATAGATAAATAAACACTTTAAATCACAAAAATGATCAGCAAGGCAAGATCTATTAAAAAGTCAAATTTTGTCGATTTAGTTAGTAGACTGTCACTTTTCATAGGAGTGATTGCCCTTAAATGACGATTTTTTTTAACCCTTTTTTTGTGTTTTGAGCAAAAAATAAGAAGATAGAGAGAAACTAAACAGACTAAAAAATCAGTAATACAAGATCAACAAAATAGAGATTTTTGTCAAGAAGTCTATTCTCGTCTACAATGTTGGAGAGTGTCCATTGTTTGATATGCACATAGACCAAGGTGAGCGACACACGGTTTCAGCTTTTACTGCCAACGTCTATATTTTTTAATCTATTTATCCAAACGTTGCATTTATCAGGTTCCCCAAATCGATGTGATGGGTAGACCATGCGATGACATTGCACTTGGCAAAGAAGTCATCAAATGGCAATTTAATTATGAAACTTACCAGTCTTCGAATGAAGATCTGAAATGGTACAGACCTAGGATATTTGTATCGCCGCTTATGACATGGCTTACACTTCTTTATGACACGTTCTGGTTTGTTTATGGAATCGTTATTTATTTTTGGAAGTGTTTCTGCAACTCTTGAAATATGTTTTGTCATTTTGTTATTTTTCATTCTTAATCGGTATTCATTCCACATCGTCACCGCAAATTTAATACTAGTTGCAAATCATTGATAGGATTAAAAGACCGATAATGTAAGCATGTGATGCATTATCTCTTTGTACAACAATGAATCGCCTGCTAAGAGTTTCTTTATCGAACTTCGTTTTTCGACACTGAACGTTAAAAACCAACAATCAATCAATCGTTTTTCGATATGGCCTCCACACGTAATGCTAACTCTCGTAACAATTGAAACCAGGAGATATATGTTTTGAACCGAAAGATATTTTATTCCTTTTATCTTTTTTTAATTTGTGATAGAAAAATATCATTTTGGAAAAATAAGAAATTTAGTTATCCAATTCAATGTAGGTGGCAGCACTCCTTTTTTAACAATGTAATCTATTTAAGGATGTTCGCTACTCTGTTCCAAAGTAACAAGCCTTTTAAAAGAGTATTATAAATTGAAAGTATATGAATAAAGGAACTGAAAAAGCAGAAAAAAATGAAGGTTCCGTGTGCTTGTTTTCAAGATATAAGCCATTGAAAATTTGGCGGGAAGTGATTCTCTCTAGATTTTTCATACATTTAACATTTGCACCTCTTTTCTTTCAAAAGCAATGAAAAAATAACAAGGATTTTATAAGATTTTCAAATGTGGCTTTTTAAACTATATGTAATAAAAATATGAAAAGAAAAGTAGGGGTTTGCGTGCAAAATGTTTGAATGGCACTACATGGATAAAACCACAGGATTCCGAATATCTGGCAAAAACTCAAAAAACAAAACAAGAGGAGCGAACATCCTTAAGGCCAAAGTGAGGGCTTTTTTCAGATACTTATGATTTCAAACTGAAATTCTGATAGATATTGTCAAGACTTAAGCTGTTATCTTAGATATGAATGAAGGACATTCCAATTTAATCCAAAATGCTATTTTAAACTTAAGTGCCAGTCTGCCTAAGAATCAGGCAGTGGTGAAAACATGACAAATAAAAACCCACTCAAGTTTATATTATTTCAGTTCATTATAGATAGTAATGCACGAAAATAACTTTCTTTCCTGTTTCCTGTTCTGTTAATAGAAGACACAATTTGGTTGAAATGCACTATAAATTAACGTTTAAGGGGAGATAACTACGTAATTTGCTGTAATTCTAACCAAAACTTATCTTGAGTTATTTTGAATTACCAGACATACAGAAAAGAAAGACATACTATATCTATAATTCTCGGTCCAAATTCATATGCTAGTGATACATAGAAAATTACATGACATTTTCCATACCGGCCATTGTGTCATCCCTTGACTCTTATTGGCACCATGGGCTAAAACCGTCGGTCCTATAAGAAAGTTTAGGGCTGATCTGAAAAATGTCATGTTATAATCTATAGTTTAAAAGGAAGTAAATAAAGATGACTGGCGCCACCTAGTTTTTACATCCAAGATAATAGGTAGAATAAATTTATTTTCTGCTGCTGCCCTGCTAATTAGGAAACGAAATTAAAATAGTGAGAATGGAGTGTTGGCTATTGGTGTAGAAATAGCGAGAATTTTGGGGGAAACTCTCTGTGATGAGCAACATTTTCTGTGCAAAATTATGCAAGGGGTGTTCTTCATTCATACTGTTTCGAAAATTCCGGAACCATAGAGTACCCTTAAAGAATGCAATTTCTCTATCAAAAAAGCTGCGGCACCATATGTGTTTTGCATTTTTATTCACACCCAAAGGTGTCGAAAATTCAGAATCTGAGAGTTTTATCAACGGATCTTTTATAGTGAAAACGCAAAACCAAAAAGGCTACCATTGTCGCCTATGTAAATAATTACTTCATTTTAACCTATAAATATGACTCATGCAACAAACAAATATAGATCACTGCGTGATAGTCAACGACGACCTTACAGTACACTATTGTGATGCATTTTCGGATCCTGAATTTAGTATGAAAAGAGTGTTGTATATCTATGTGATGAAATATAATCATTTTGTCAAATAACTCATATTTTGCTTTTGTATATCATTTCTAGGATCAAATTCATGATGCACATTTTACAAATGAAGAATGGAACATATTTATTAAGAAGATCGCCGAAGATGGAGAACACATTGAAGATGTTGTTGTGGAAAAAATGGCAATTCTATTAAAAAAGAAAATAGTCATATATTCACTTTCCTATGCCAATGAAATTAGTAAAAAGTCAATTAATGACGAGGCATCCGGGACTCCTTTTTTACTTGGAAAGGAAAAAAGTTATTACACAAGTCTTGAAAGAGGTCAGGGTACTTCGCCTGTCAGTAAGGACAAACAGAATGCATGTCAAAGTAAGTTAAATGGTTATTATTGGTTTGATTTTGTCATTTCGATAAATCTTGCTGGTTTTTAGCTCACCTGGCCTTAAAGGCCAAGTGAGCTTTTCTCATCACTTGGCGTCCGGCGTCCGTCGTCCGGCGTCCGTCGTCCGTCCTCCTTTGTCCGTCGTCGTCGTCCATCGTCGTTAACTTTTACAAAAATGTTCTCCTTTGAAACTACTTTTTAACCAAACTTGGCCACAATCATCATAGGGGTATTTAGTTTAAAAAATGTGTCCGATGACCGGGCCCGCCAACCAAGATGGCCGCCATGGCTAAAAATAAAACATAGGGGTAAAATGTAGATTTTGGCTTATATCTCTGAAACCAAAGCATTTAGAGCAAATTTGACGGAGTCAAATATTTCATCAGGTAAACATCTATCTCCCCTGAAATTTTCAGACAAATCAGACAACCCATTGTTGGGTTGCTGCCCATGAATTGGTAATTTTAAGAAAATTTTGAAGGTTTTGGTTATTATCTTCAATATTATTATAGATAGAGATAAACTGTTAACAGCAATAATGTACAGCAAAGTAAGATCTACAAATAAGTCAACATGACCAAAATGGTCAATTGACCCCTTAAGGAGTTATTGCCCTTTATAGTCATTTTTGCGGTCGTATATTGGTATGACGTTGGCGTCGTCGTCGTCGTCGTCGTCCGATGACACATTGGTTTTCGCACTCTAACTTAAGTTTAAGTAAATGGATCTCAATGAAATTTTACCATAAGGTTCAATACCACATTAGGAAGGTGGGGATTGATTTTGGGGGTTATGGTACAAACAGTTAAGTTTAGGGGCCAAAAAGGGGCCAAAAAAAAGCATTTTTGTAACTTCCAGACATAACTTGTGTGTTAGTGTATGGATCTCTCTGACATTGTACCACAAGGTTCCATATCACAAAGGGAATGCCGGGATTGATTTTGGGGTAATTGCCTCCAAATTTATAGGAATTAGGGGCCAAAAAGGGGCAAAAAACAAGCATTTTTCTAGTATCATGACAATAACTTGTGTGTAAGTGTATGGATCTCTCTGACATTGTACCACAAGGTTCCATATCAAAAAGGGAATGCTTGGATTGATTTTGGGGGTAATTGCCTCCAAATTTTAGGAATTAGGGGCCAAAAAGGGGCAAAAACCAAGCAGTTTTCTAGTTTCATGACAATAACTTGTGTGTAAGTGTATGGATCTTTATGAAATTGTACCACAAGATTCCATAGTTTGGGGGTAATTGCCCAAAACGTTTAGGAATAAGGGGCCAAAAAGGGGCCAAAAATAAGCATTTTTCTGGTTTCCAGACAATAACTTGTGTTCAAGTCTATGGATCTCTCTGAAATTGTATTACAAGGTATCATACCACAAAGGGAAGGCTGGGATTGATTTTGGGGGTAATTGACTCAAAATTGTCGGAATTAGGGGCCATGAAGGGGCAAAAAAATAATTTATGAAACAAAATTTTTAATCAGTTGTGCGTTTGAAAGTAACACCATACAGATACGGAAATTGACATAACAAACGATCTAGATCTAACATTCACAACGTTGTTGTTACAATATTATTAACAAATTTAGCATAATAAGCATTCTTAAAGTAAGACATGAGTGGACTATTTGTAGTTACAGTGGTAACGCAGGCAAACACATCAGTAGAATATGATTTGGGCAATTCTTTCACCGTGCATAAAAGCCTATTAAAATAGGAATCTACACGTACGAATACAGATACAGATACAGATTTGTTGGAAGTGCTCCGTGCAAGACCACAAACGTTCATAACATCAAACTACAAAATTAATTGCCTCAAAATTTTCGGAATTAGGGGCAATAAAGGGGCAAAAAAACAAGCATTTTTCTAGTTTCAGGACAATAACTTGTGTGTTAGTGTATGGATCTTTATGAAATTGTACAACAAGGTTCCGTATCACAAAGGGAAAGCTGGGTTTGAGTTTGGGGGTAATTGCCCTAAACGTTTAGGAATTTGGGGCCAAAAAGGGGCCAAAAAAACAAGCATTTTTCTAGTTCCAGACAATAACTTGTGTTCAAGTGTATGGATCTCTCTGAAATTGTACTGCAAGGTACCATACCACAAAGGGAAGGCTGGGATTGAGTTTGGGGGTGATGAATCATAAGGGGGTTCAAAAAATTTGGGGGGGGGGATTTTTTTTTCTTTAAAATTTTCCATTTTAAATTGGTTATTTCTGATTTATATATAAAAGCAAATAATAATGATATGGTTTGAATAGGTAAATTAAAAATGTTTAAGTTCTTAGACCACATTCATTCTGTGTCAGAAACCTATGCTGTGTCAAATATTTAATTACAATCCAAATTCAGTGCTGTATCAAGCTTGAATGTTGTGTCCATACTTGCCCCAACTGTTCAGGGTTCGACCTCTGCGGTCGTATCAAGCTGCGCCCCAGCGGAGCATTTTATTGTAATCTTTTACACAAATCTTCTTCTCTGAAACTACTGAGACAAATTTAACCAAACTTGGCCACAATCATCATTAGGGTATTTAGTTTTAAAAATGTGTCCGATGACCCTGCCTGCCAACCAACAAAATGGTCAATTGACCCCTTAAGGAGTTATTGCCCTTTATAGCCAATTTTTAACATTTTTTTGTAAATTTTTGTAATCTTTTACAAAAATCTTCCCCTCTGAAACTACTGAGACAAATTTCACCAAACTTGGCCATAATCATCATTAGGGTATATAGTTTAAAAAATATGTCCGATGACCCCGCCTACCAACCAACATGGCCGACATGGCTAAAAATAGAAATAGGGGTAAAATGCAAGTTTTGTCTATTATTTTTTGAACCGTTATAAATAGAGAAAATCTGAAAGGAGCAAAAATGTTCAGAATAATGAGCTCTACTAATTTTCCATATACGTCAAAACTGTTGGACAAATTCTTATAGGAGTTATTGCCCATAAATGACAAATTTTACCATTTTTTCATTTTTGCCTATTATCATGAAAACTATGATATTTAGAGAGAAACATTTTTTCCGTTATGCCTTATATGATTTAAATTATAATAGATAAATAAAACTTTAAATCACAAAAATGATCAGCAAGGCAAGATCTATTAAAAAGTCAAATTTTGCCGATATAGTTAGTAGACTGTCACTCTTCATAGGAGTGATTGCCCTTAAATGAGATTTTTTTTTTACCCTCTTTTGTGTTTTGAGCAAAAACTAAAGAAAATAGAGAGAAACTAAACAGACTGAAAGATCAGTAATACAAGATCAACAAAATAGAGATTTTTGTCATGAAGTCTATTCTTGTCTACAATGTTGGAGAGTGTCCTTTGTTTGATATGCACATAGACCAAGGTGAGCGACACAGGCTCTTCAGAGCCTCTAGTTTTGTTAGCTCTTACCTGGCAAACAGAATACAACATATTCTAAGAATCTATAACATAGACTTTTGCGATAAAGCATACTTTCATGAAACCGCAGTTTAACGATGAATGAACATCCATTTAGTATATTTAGCATTTACAAGATGATGAAATGACAATTATTTCCTTTATTCACATTGAACTAGCTAAAGGCGTTGGGTGTTACATTGGAATTAAAACCGATCCCACACAACACGATCACAAAAAAGAAACACAAAAATATAAAACAGCAACGTTTTTAATGTGAACAATTCCAAACTTTTACAACAGTATGCATGTTATTTCAATATTGTGCACATATCTAAATAATTAAAGTTTACATCGTGTTGAAACTAAACAAAAACACGTGATGAGTATACACATATGAGAGAGTCTGTATGGAGGTTTACAAAATAGAGAATAATGGGCAAACAATACGAAGAATAGAAAAAAATGGTCCAAAATAGAGAATAATGGGGTGCTAAAATGTAATATGTAGAGAATAATGGGCTTAAAATATAAAGAATAGAGAAAATTGGCTTAAAAAATTAAAGAATTAGAGAAAATTGGCCTAAAAAACTTAAAATATACAGAAGTGAAGGACCCCATCCAATCCCTCATATGAGGTTCAATTCGTTCGTTTTATTCTATTATGTGGAAATTTGTATGAATTTAAATTCGAAGATGCATTTGTAAATAAAGAAGCCCTGATGTGCAGTGTATTATAAGTAAGAATTGTAATAAAATGTTAGATTTATAAGCTTTTAAATATACACCTTTTGTTCTTGTATTACCCAGAAAGACCAGCGAAGAATGTTCAATTTGCTGGCGATGTGTCACTTGCAAAACAACCTAAACAGACAAAGGCAGCAGACAGGTATGTTTTCATAGAGAGTAAAAAAATACAAGAGCTTTAACTAGGACTTAAGAATTAATTGATAAACACCCCATATATCCGTTATATTTATTTTTCTCTGTTCACAATATATCTGTTTCTCTGCACAATGTACAACTAACTTGTTTTTATTGGACTGAAATTGTACTGTACATGTTAACGGACACATGGTTAATCATCCAATCATAGCAAGCCATTTAAACAGAAACTAAATGTTAAAAAGTTGAGAATGTTTGTTATCCTAGTTAATTCTTCTTCCCTTATAAAAATAAGGAGATGAGGTATGATTGCCAATGAGGCAACTATCCACCAAAGTTCAAATAAAGTGGATGTAAGCAATTATAGGCAACCTTACGGCCTTCAACAATGAGAAAAAACCATACCGTATAGTCGGCTATAAAAAGCCCCGAACATTTCATTTTTTTTAAGTTATTGATTTACTAGAGATAAAAACAATATTTACTGCATCCAAAGTATTCTTAGTTTTGTAAAACAAAGTCATCTTCAAATATCATATGTTTTCAAGCCTTGTGTAGCAATAAATGGTATCAGTAATGAATCCAATAGTTTTCTTTTCTATAGAACAACCAACAAGTCATTCAACCACGGATTATGAAAGAGATGGACAAAAAGAGACTTAGTGACAGTCAAAGTACTCTAAAAATGTCTACGTTCAAGGACATTAAATTTGTCACAGTCCAATCCTGTTTGCAGGGTGTTTTTTCCGGCGTCCTTCTAATTCTTCACATCTTCCTCATACATAAAGATCAATTTAATGCTTTCTCGATTTTATCTTATTTGAAAAATTAGCGACAATAAATTCCTTGCAAAATTTTGCACTTTACAACTTACAGTATTTGTCAATAAATGGTTTGTTTTATTGAAACAAACAATCTATCAGGGAAGTTGCACTTTACAACTTACAGTATTTGTTAATAAATGGTTTGTTTTAATGAAACAAATAATCTATCAGGGAAGTAAGTAAAACAATTGACATGCTTCACTATGTTCTAATTTTTCTTTTTTGTTTGTTTTAAACATAGTTGATTATGTAAAAAAGGTAATTTATGGTCACACTATATATCCACAGGAAGTCGGATGTGTCATTTGGTGGGGATGTAATGCCAGACAAAGAGTCGGACAAATCTGCCACTTTTTCAGCCAAACTTATTAAATCATCTACACCAGTGAAGATTGTGCAAGAGGGACCATCGACTGAAGGAGCGCCGACTAAAAGAAAACAAGTCACTAAACCAATGAAGAAATTAACAAAAGATGAAAAGTTATTGATACTACGCTGTTACCATGCATTACAGGTCAAAGGTGACTGGGATAAATTGGCTGAAATGGTGTACAGTAGAAGAGAAGAAAAATTGTCACGTGAGATGGTTCATCATTATGAACAAAACTTAGATCTGAAGACAACACTGAAGAACAGAATAAAAGATTTCATAATGAGAGTAACAAAAGACAAAGGAGAAAACGAGAAGGATTCAGAAGTAAAGGCTTTAATACAGCTGATTTGATTGGTCACTTTAACAAAAGACAAAGGAGAAAAGAGAAGGATCCAGAAGTAAAGGCTTTAATATAGCTGATTTGATTGCTCACTTACACATCTAATATTGCATGAAATACTCCATATGTATGCATGGCATATACACGCATAATCTTTCGACACAGAATATCTTGATTAATTTTCTGAACGATTTTTAGTTCATCATTGTGTTTATTTCATTGATGTTGCATTTTTATAGAACTCATGATTTTATCAAGTTAGCTAAGGATGTATTCTTCTGACGATTTAATCTCGTTGAAATCTCGTTCTGGTATCATTTCCAAAGCAAGTTGAAAATATCAATGAATTTAAAAAATATTATAATCAAACTAAACTATGTGAAAAAATTGTGTACTTACAATAAGTAGTTTTTGAGTGATAAAGTTTTCAATTTTTTTAACCAATCCGTTCAGTGGCATCAGCCAAAATGTTGAGAAAATCGGTGAGGGTACAAAGAAATTATTTTACCAAAAATATGTACATCCCATATCAATTTTTTCTTTTTAAAATTCTTAAATATGTATTTTTCAATCATTCTTAACAAAGAAGTTGATATAATATGCTTTTTGTTCTAAAAAAAGAGAAAAATTCCAAATTTACAAAATTTACAGCATGGTCAATTAGACACGAAAAAGCAACAAAATTTTATAAAACTTTCTTATATTAACACCTACCTATAGTTTTTTAAGTTAAATTTATTCAGATTGGTCCACTTCATCTTTAGAGTAAGTATGAAAAAAAGTTTAATTGTGAAACCATGATTTTTTTCATGATAATAGCCCAAAAATGGGTAAAAATTGATGAAAAATGGGAAACTGAAACATGGAGTACTTTCAAATGGCCTAAGCAAAAAAAGAAGTGCACCACCGTATGATTTTTTCTTCGTCAATTACTTTCTTACAGTCATATAAACCCAAAAATCAGGTAAAGAAAAAAGTTTAATTCTAGAAATTTTGGCTCCTCAGAGGTGTACATCCTTAAGTTCAGTGTATTTTTTTGCATTGTTTTGTCATATTATATGATTTATAGTTTCATTTTGTCATGTAAGCTCAGTTAATTGCTCACATTGTTTTGTAATTTTATATGGTTCATGATTGTCTAATCATCATTTTAGTTTTAGTTCATTTATTCGCAATATTTAACTTTATATTATTCATGTTTGTCATTTCAGTTTGATTGATTAGTTCGTTTTGTTTTATATTTTTATATTATTTATGTTTGTTATTTCGTTATTAAAACTCATATCATGGCTTCGCTTTGCATTGTATGGTTATATGATTCATAATGTCGATATGTAACACACAACATATTTGATAAAGACGATGATAGTATAAGATATTGGACTATAATCTAAAAAATAAATATTTTGTCTGAGTTTGAAGTGATTTTAATCTTTATTACATGGTCTTAGTGTTGATTTTTATTTGTAAATAAGTAGCTTTGCTTTAAACTTGTGTTGTAGTATATTGAAGGACTTTTTGTCTGATTTTAAAACCTACTTTTATTAAAAAATTGACATAGCTCTCGCTGCGATATAGCCTTTTTGTGCTTAGGCGGCATAAAGCAAACACCAATCAATCAATCAATCAATATTAAATATAGTTTTGTAATACCTTTAAAAAGCAAAACAACAAAAATACCGAACTCCAAGGAAAATTCAAAACGGAAAGTCCCTCAACAAATTGCAAAATCAAAAGCTGAAACACATCAAACGAATGGAAAACTACTGTCATATTCCTGACTTGGTACAGGCATTTCCTTATGTAGAAAATGGTGGATTAAACCTGGTTTTATAGCTAGCTAGCTAAACCTCTCACCTGTATGACAGTCGCATAAAATCCATTATATTGACAACAAAGTGTGAACAATACAAAAGACATTATACTATTAGGTAAACATGTCAAAATAGGGATACAGCAGTCAACATTGTGTTATAATCTCAATCACTATTAAAATAAAAGAACAGAGTTCCAATGTCCCCCGCGTTGCACATATTTTATCTATCAGGGGCAATGACTAAAAAAAAAAACCACTTTTTTTTGTTGTTCTTGAAAACAATTTATAACTAAAAAGAGTGAGCGGGGGACAAAAAAGTTTTTTGTTAAATATTCAAAACAGACCTTCAAGGGCATTACATATAGTAAACTATAAGTTTTATAAAAAATTGTACTCGTGAGAGCGCTAACGAGGCCATTTTTCATAAATTTAATATTTCCAAGGGTCAGAAATCTTTTTAAAAAAGTCGATCCGTCACCGTTATAAAACTTGCCCGAGATATTGCTGATATTAACCTATTGTATAAGTTTTATAAAAATCTGGCAAGAATTGTACCCGTGAGAGCGCTAACGAGGCCATTTTCCATAAATTTAATATTTCCAAGGGTCATAACTCTTCTTTTTTAAAAGTCGATCGTCCACCATTATAAAACTTGTCCGACGAGATATTGCTGATATTAACCTATAGTATAAGTTTTATAAAAAATTGGCAAGAATTGTACCCGTGAGAGCGCTAACGAGTCCATTTTCCATAAATATGATATTTCCAAGGGCATAACTCTTTTAAAAAAAGTCGATCGGTCACCATTATAGAACTTGTCCGAGAAATTGCTGATATTAACCTATAGTATAAGTTTTATAAAAATCTTGAAAGAATTGTACCTGTGAAAGCGCTTACAATACCGGACGGACGGATGCCCGGTATTTCCATGTCCCCTGCAACGCGTTACGCGGGGGCCAACAAAATATGTCAACAAAGAAAAATAAAAAGGCATACAGACAAAGTACATACGCAAAAAATGAAACACAAGAATACAAAAAATGACCACAGCACCACAACATTATGGAGGATGTACAAGTACCGAGCCACACCTAAAGGATATTACCAAAAAATGGACCAAACAGTAAACTTTGATAATTTACAAAGACAAATAAAAGAACACTATAACACGTAATTAAGATGATGAACAACGTCAGTACCTAGAATCTATACATCAAGACCATCATGTATTATTTGTGAAGTTGATACGAAATATTTATCAATAAGGTCTTGGTATCTTCCGATGATTTTTTTTAGAAGAAGAACGAGACGTTCTTTGACATAAACCTGGTTCATCAACTTTCTGCCCAGACACTATAAATGAAAGGACACATCGGAAGTACATCAACAACACAATTAAACTTTAAATACAACATGTATCTTATATAAAAGATACACATTTGAAATTGATTAATTGATTGTTTGGTGTTCAATGCCACTTTCAGCACTATTGGCTATATCGTGGCGGTCATATCTTATTCGTTGAGGAAGCCGAAGTTCCCTGAGAGAACAACCGACTTTCGGCAGGAAAACTGACATAACTAGTCAATTAAGATTGGAGTCGAACGCACATGCAACGTGCGACATGTACGCGGCTCGAACTCACCTCAATATTGAAAGGCTATTTATACAGTAGATGCACAGCTTAAACCACTCAGCCACCGAGGCCCCTATTTTTAATTAAAAGTACGGTACAAATCGATGTTAAGATTAGGTTATACTATTCCAAACAATTAAAAAAAAAATACATGAAAACAGGATTCTACAAGATCTTCAAGGAGTTGATATAATACATGCAATCAAAGTACAACTTCTATTGCAAAAAATAGTAAAATAACAAAAATACCGAACTCCAAGGGAAATTCAAAACGGAAAATCTTTTATAAAATGGCTAAATCAAAGGCTCAAACACATCTAACGAATAGAAAACAACTGACATATTCCTGACTTGGCACAAACATTGCAATAGAATTAAAGCTTTGACTAAATAATCATTCTCTTAAATATTCCTTATTCTAAACTCCAACAGACAAATAGAATTAAGTCTTATTTATTGTTGTCAACATTTTAGTCATCTAAATCATCAATTTAAATTAGAAACGTTTCTTTTCCTGATCATTTGATTATCTTTCCTACTTTCCCTTTTAACTATGGCGTTGTTTTCCTTTGATTTAGGTGCGAGTTCGTTAAAACCTCGCACGTGGGAAGTGCCTTTGACTCTAATCTAAATTGCTTAGGATTGCCAGTTTTCCTGCCGTAGGTCGATGGTTCTCTCTGGGCACACCGGATTTGTCCGCCAATAAAAGCTAGACCAAAAATCAATCAATCAATCTTTTGACTGAATATTTACACCATTTCTATTTTTCTTTTTTTTTATATTTTTGGGATACTAGTATTTTGTTTTAATCTATTAAAAATGTGAAGATAGGTTTTAAAGTTTTTTAAGTCACGTTGGTTGCAACTGTTTTAAACCATTACAACAACGACACAAGACAATACTCGACGAAAAGACAATAAACAGTCTAAACAACACTACATAGAAAGGTAAATACTAATCTACACGAACCAACAAAATATCCGGGGTGATCTGTTGTATTACGGAATATAAAGTTGAACCTGCTACACAATTTGCAGACGTCGTGTTGTTAAGTTTACACGAGTTGAATGAGGTTATTTTTGCTAATGCCAAGTTTTTTTAAAAATAGCTCTTAACCTATTCAAGTACTTAAACAGAGTTGTTTTTTAAATTTTTGGTTTGACCTTTACTGAATAAGGTAAATCAAGAAAAGCGCTTTGGACGCACAAAATATATGTGTTATTGTCATGTTATAGTTGCCGAGACATTTTTCTATCATACAAAATAAAAACGCTACACTGACAAAGCTCAACACATTAAGTTTATGATTTGGAATTTCAGATAAGAGGCATCAGTAATAAAACCGATGTTCCAAAACTCGATAATCCATTTGGAATTTACCAACCGAGTGAAAACACATTGACGATTCGGGTGAACTGCAAACGGAACTGGACAGGTTACGTCGATAGGAAAAACATATTATCATATGCGTGCATCGCCAGTAATGAGTATCCACATATCTGGCTTGCCTTCTTAAAATTGACAATCGTCATTAACAAAAACCATAATTTACCAATATTTTATATGTATTTATTCCTGTTATCTAATACACGTTGCTATACTGCTTATCCACGTGTACATTCACGTGTAATTGTTTATTTACTTTAATAAACATTGACCATTGGTCCGAATTGGACCTTTAACTTATGTTAAATTTTGAGTTTAAAGTTGCCACTTATGTTGCACGAATTTCAAAAGAGGGAATAGTTTTCTTTGTTTATCAAACTACAGTATATAATCATTCGAAGCTCAGTTTTCAGTGCAGCTAACCCACCGTCCCATCCATAGCTATTTATAAGGAGAATGTATATATTTTTTATTTATTTGTATACTGACTGTTTCTGTTTTCTCTTTGTAGATATTTCAACATGACAGCGGCCAGTGCAGATGTCATATGTGACGGACTCTTTATATGTTTGCCCATAATAAATTTAATAAAGATAGTTGCACAACTGGCGAGCTGATCCCATAATGATATGGTGGTTTTGTTTTATGTACTAGCCTAAGTGTTGTGGTTTAAGGATTAAATACTTTATGTTCGGTTGAGGAACGAATGAGAACATAATTGATATCAAAGTGAGCTTTTTACATAGCAAATAACTATAGAAATGCCGGACTACTTGAGTTAGCTTAACATCTATTATAGCATTTCAAAGATCAATTATAAAGAAAAATGATAGCGTTTTCTGTACTATTAGTTTGACTTTTATAAGTTCCAAAAATCATTTAAAGAAGGTTTATTATGCTTTAGATAAACACCGTTTTGTTTCTGTAGTGTATCCAAATGTTTAATTTTTACGCTCGACACTTCAATCTCAATATGTAAAACAGAGATGAAGAAATATATGAATATTAATAAAAAGGAGTAGTGAGGTATACTTCAATAGGGAAGATACTGATCAAACTAAAAAGAACTAAAGAGGTCAGAACAAACGATAAGGGCCTATAATGTATGTTGAGACACGTTTTGAAAGCATTGTTATGTACCTAGTTCAAATGCAATACTTTATTATTTGTCAGAGAAAATATTTGCACGAAGCCGATTAGGAATTTAATGTACCAATTGCTTACTACTGTGTGCAGACAAATAAATCCTTGTCACGCATCACAGATCATTTGACTCTCAATAGTAATAGGCTGATAACAAATAGTGACACAACTCTAAATACTAAATCTCTTTGCGCTATCAATCACCAACTGAATACCAGGAACAACACAGAGGGTAGTTAAATGGAACGAAGTAAAAAGTAAAATTACAAAAATACCGAACTCCAAGGAAAATTCTAAACGGAAAGTCCCTAAGCAAATGGCAAATCGAAAGCTCAAACACATCAAACGAATGGATAACAACTGTCATATTCCTGACTTGGTACAGGCATTTTCTTATGTAGAAAATGGTGTATTAAGCCTGGTTTTATAGCTAGCTAAAC